TTTTATTATTTATTACTTTTTTAATCTCACTTTCTTTGCAAACTGTTCCTTCTGTTTAATTTACAGAACTGCTTCCCAGGTTCACTTAATGAAATTTTCACCAGATGGAGAATTTTTTGACACTGCTGAAATTTCAAATTAAATAATTTAAAAAAATTCTGTTTGAAGAAATTTTCACAGTGTAACTTGAAGAGTATTGATTTTATTATTTTTTTAATCTCACTTTCTTTGCAAACTGTTCCTTCTGTTTAATTTACAGAACTGCTTCCCAGGTTCACTTAATGAAATTTTCACCAGATGGAGAATTTTTTGCCACTGCTGGAAAGGTAAATTTCAAAAATACTTTTTTTCAAATTGTGTGTATATACTATGTTATTTTTAAAGAGGTTTTTTAAATGTATGTGTATACATGTCCATGTGTGCATGCACGTGTGTGTGGTGCATGTACACATGTATATAAGCATATAAGTAGAAGCCAGAGGTCAGTGGAATGTCTTTCTCAATCAGTCTTTACCTTATTTCTTGAGACAGGGTCTCTTACTGAACCTGGAGCTCACTGACTGGGCTAGTGTTAGCAAACCCCCAGGACTCTCCAGTCTTTGCTGCCCCAGCACTGGGATTACAGGCGTGCATCACAGTGCCTGAGTTTTTTAATATGGGTTCTAGAGGATCAAACTCAGATCCTGATACTTATGCAACAAGCACTTGACCTACTGAGCCATGCCCCTGCCTCCCAAGTGCTGGGATTAAAGGCATGTGCCACTACACCCGGCTTCTTCCTAGCCTTTTAAACTTTTTTTTTTTTTTTTTTTGGAGACAGGGTCTCCCTGTAGTCCCAGCTGTGCTAGAACTCACTATGTAGACCAGGCTGGCCTTGAACTCAACAGAGATCTGCCTGCCTCTGCCTCCTGAGTGCTGGGATTAAAGGCGTGCACCACTATGCCTGGCACCCCTTAAACTATTTTTAAACTTTAAAAATACTGACTTCATTATTTTATTTATCTCAAAACTAAAAAAACATAAAAATATTAAATAGAAAAAAATTGCTAAGTAGTATAATGTTAAAAGGCATTGTGGCACAATTGAAACAACTTAGATTTAGAGTCAATTCCAGTGACTAGTTTCATCTTGGATAAGTTAGCTGATCTCTCTGAGCCTTGCTTTCTAACATAAAATGAGGTTATAACTGCCTCATAGATCCTTAATCATTGGGTTAATTTATACAATGTATAAGAAGTGACTGGCCAAGTACCTTTTATATAATATATAGCTAGTGTTTATATTGCTGTTTGGGTAATATGTATATTTGCCTACTAGGGGCTGGAGAGATGGCTCTGTAGTTAAGAGCATTGGCTACTCTTACAGAGGACCAAGAGTCTCTTCTCAGCACCCACATAGCAGCTAACAACTGTCCTTGACTCCAGTTCCATGGGACTCCGACTCCCTCTTCTGGCCTCCATGGGCATTGCACACACAAGTGCACTTACATATATAGGCACAATACTCATGCACTTAAATAAAAATAAATAAATTTGAAAAAACAATAATTCATGAAATGCCTTCCCCTTGACCTCAGTATTTAGTATTATAATTATGATGGTAGTATTAATTTTTTATTTGATATTTTACTTAAGGGAAAAGAAGTCCTTAATTTCTTCTTTCTTGAATAACTACTATGTGGTCATTTGATGTTTTTTGTTTTTTTCTCTGTAGGATGACTGTCTTGTAAAGGTATGGTATAATGTAGAAAACTGGCGGCCAGCTGTTACTTCTCCAGATAAAAGTTCAGAAAAACAATCCCAAGGAGAAATTGACTTTTCTTTTGTATATCTGGCCCATCCTCGAGCTGTAAATGGATTTTCCTGGCGTAAAACAAGCAAATATATGCCGAGGTCAGTGGATTGCTTGCATTGTCTCTGTATGTTAAGAAAGCACAGGTTTATGTAGAAAACTGGCGGCCAGCTGTTACTTCTCCAGATAAAAGTTCAGAAAAACAATCCCAAGGAGAAATTGACTTTTCTTTTGTATATCTGGCCCATCCTCGAGCTGTAAATGGATTTTCCTGGCGTAAAACAAGCAAATATATGCCGAGGTCAGTGGATTGCTTGCATTGTCTCTGTATGTTAAGAAAGCACAGGTTTTGTTTTGTTTTGTTTTAATATTTTATTACTTTTATTTTATGTGTATGCATGTATTGCCTGCATGTAGGTAAGTACACCTGTGTCGTACAATGCCCGCG